AGCCCCTAGTCCGACCCAAACTAGGAAATGCATCTGCTGTTTGGGACCCACATCAATCTAATCTTACTAAAACGCTCGAAACCGTGCAAAATCGCGCAGCAAGATTCATCTACTCAGACTACTCTTATCATAGCAGTGTCACAGCGCTTAAATCTCAAGCTAATCTTTTTAACCTCGAATCACGGCGCAAAATTTCCAGGCTCCGCCTTTTTCACAAGTTTTATCACTCATCACTTGGCAGCTCTGTTATCGCACCAGCTCACCGCGTTTCATGTCGCAGCAGTCATCAGGAAGCTGTCTATCGCCCCCATGCCCGCTGCACTGCGCATCTTTTTTCATTTTTCTGCCAGACAGCAAAGGATTGGAACGATCTGCCCACCGACGCCGTGCTCCACTCCAACCCCGCCCATTTCAAGGCATTCATCGAAGAAATTTCTTGATGCTTCGCACTACTCTCATGTAATAAATACCCCTTATTTTGGGGCCTTTGAAGTGTATTACATCAAAATAAATAAATAAATATATCTAGAGATTTATTCTTAAAAGTGATGTACAATCCGTACGACGGAGGCGCTTCTATGCGACCGGGTGCACACCAGACTTGTGCCTATCTCAAATACTCTGCTCAGGATACTTTATTTCAAATACTTTTTGAAGTATCTTGGTATCTTGCAAATACTTTTGATCGGTAGTATTTGATACTTTATTTTAATTACATTTCTCAGCATCTGGTACCCATTATCTCAAATACATTTTTTACTTCCCGCCATTTCTCGAGTTTTCCGGTATGAAGTGGCGTGGGCGTGGCAGGAGCAAACGTGAACATTCTTTCGAGCAACCAAATCCTGTTTCTAGCTCCGATTAGCTACGGTGACTTTGATTGAGATCGTGAAAGAAACATTGCTTTTTTGCCGATACGTGACTCATATTTCAGCACAAAGTTCTTACAATGAAGGTTTTCCCTTCGCCTTCCCAAAGGCGCCTCGTTCCACTAGGAAGAGCGGAGAGAGAAAAAATGCCCCCTCCCTCACACCCCGCGCGTCGTCTGCTCCGCCGAGTGGGCTGCACCTAACATCCAGCTGGTACTGAAACTCGGTGTAAAATCGCATAATTTTGGAAATTTCAAGCGCAGATGCGCGAATTTTGATATGAAAGTTGTCGTGTAACACTATGCTCGATAAAAAGACTAACCGAGTTCAACTGCGCTGTTACCTGCGTGCAAATAGAGAAAAGAAATGGGAAGTCTGTGTCTGAGTGGCCGGTCTCTCCGGCGAAAAGTAAGTCCGGTTTTTGTAGCTTTTTTACTGTACAAAGTTTGTACTGGTGTAGGCCTTTAGCGACAATGAATGGAATGGAATAATAAATAAAGACGTGTTTTCCTGACGCAGTCGACGCAATGGTTGAGGACAGTGCTGCCGGCTGACTCCCCTGCTATTGGAGTAACGGAACAAAGGCAGCGCTAGTTGATCATTTTACTGAAATAAAACATCAGGACGCTACAGGCTGAATTTGGAGTAGCCAAAATATTGCAGGAACGCGAACCACTTCACAACGGCGGCCACGAGCGACAGTTTGATGTTCGGAACAGCCAGCCGGTACAGCCCATAAAATGGAGAATGGTTATCTCCCGGTTTGTCGTCTGCTAGCGGAATCGGGCGCGTGCCCGATTCTCTCTCACCACCTCATGCCTGTTATAGTTGCACTGTGCTCTTTTTTTACAGCTGCACTTCTGTTGCCCACACCAGTTACATATTTTGCATGTTCATTAAGATGCACTATTTTATTGGTCACCATGCAAAGTTCATGTTCTGGAGGAGGGAGAAGGCGCGCGGAAACACTGATGGACTTCAATCGTTTCTCAACGCGGTTGTCACACTGTACAGCCTCAATACCGAGAGGAATTTTCCCTACGGTGACGAGGAGGACGAATCTGACGATCCTTTTGCCAGCGAGTGAACCGTCCGCCCAGCCCGTGTTCCTCTCGCTTGCAGGAAGATGACTTTTGCACCGACCTCTCGTTAAGTGCTTGTCTCGTCAGTTAGGTTCTGCTACCAGCTCAAATGGCTCCTTTTAGGGCTTCCACATTTTGCAAACGGATCGTTGTGCTCGCGATGCCGTGTCCCGGGGGAGGGGGGGGGGGGGGATGATACGACGTAATCGGAAGGCTCCTTAAAGGTATGTGCTTCTGAGAGCACGTAAAATCGTGCCTTGCATCGTCATGCTCAGAAAAATAACAACAAAGCACAGAGGAATGTTACAGCTTATAATCAAATAAATATGTTTGTCACACTCGTTCAGCAATGCATTCGGTACCCGATTCGCGCCGTTACCGTTGGCCTGTTACTTCGACGTCGTCGTCCGTCATCACCGCCAACGCTACGACTCGTCCGGCTTTAGGTAGTCGCCGCGTTGACTTTGGCAGACGATATATGTGTCAATGGCGCGTCTGGAGCTGGCTTCAGAGCTGCGTTCGCGTGTGCGTCTATCTAGAGATCAGGTCGTCTGCTCTTTGCGCAGAGGCTGCGGTGACGTCAGAACGACGCCGAGCTCTGATTGGCTCTGATTGAAAGGATAATGGGTAGACCTCAATGCCAGATGCCTTGAGGTCTACCCACTATTTATTTCAACCAACCAGTAAGAGCTCGGCATTTTTGACATCATCGCAAACCCTGTGCAAGAAGCACACGAGCCTGGACTCCGCATTGGTATTCAGTGAGTATAGCAGACGGACTTTATCGTGCGGGAGGAGATGGCGGTGTGGCGAGATCAGGTGCGTGCTTCGTCTCTTTCGCCGTGCTTTTAAATGGGCGGAACGTGAACAAAAAAAAAATGTTAGAAATAAAGACTAGGGGCCATTGTAGAGGTGGTCGCCTTTATTTATTACTTTTTTTTTCGACCGACAGGACGGCATATCCAGCTCTGTTTTGTTTAGCCGCCTGACGGCGCTTCGGTCGGAAATGGGGAGGCGCTTTGGGAGTCGGGTGTCGCGTTTCAGGGGGTCCCGTGCCGTTACAAGTTGGAATTCTGCTTGTTTATGAGCTTTTCCCGGTATCGGGAAAATGGCCGCGGGCATGTGACCCACTTCGTTGCATTTCATGCGGAACCCCGGTTTTCGAACGCACGTGAAGACACTTAACTTTCCGACGAGAGGCTGCTGTCTCAACGGCGCGTGCGTCTACCCCTTGACCTTGAGACGCGGGGCCAGACGCAAAGGTTTGCCGAGGAACCCATGGCCGAGACATTAACACGTCACCGGTCGCCAGGCCGTTTGCTGGGAGACAAAGTGCCTCAGAGCTCTCGGAGTCGTGTCTCGGAACTCTTCCGTGACGTCCGGGGACCAGGCGCTTCCTATATATTCTGCATATGCCTGGCGTGTCTTTCTTTTTGCTTTCCTGCCAACGGCCTTTAGCGGTGGCATTGACGTGCCCCAGCCGACATGTCTCGATGGTTCTTGCCGTTCGCGAATGTGTATCTTCTTTGGCAGATAGGAAAGCTATAAGTCTTATTTTATCCTCGGCTTCTGAGAACCAAGGCTCGGCTTATGGTTCACTCCCGGAGCAATGACCTCTCACCCGATCGGTCGAAAGTGCGCTGTGTGTAGGCGTTGTAGTTTGGTTCCTCTAGCCAATGGGACCAGGGTCGAACCCTGATTGGCCTACGCAGGTTCGAGCACGCTGTTTTAGACCCTGGTCGGGCAGGGGAATCTGAGTTTTGGAACCGGCTCGTGAGCGACCCCACTGACGTTCAGCTCCCGCGGTGCGCCGCGTTACCTGTCGTGCGCGACAGCGTCTTCGTCTTCGCGGCTACAAGGTAGTCGCCGTCCTTACCGTGCGCGGTAGGATCATCTGACGCCGAGGCGTCTCAGTCTGTAAGCCGTGCGCGGCAGTTTATTACAGCGCGGAATCTGTTCGTACTTGTCTTTTATGTAACTGTTTGATTATTTTTTTTTAATCGAAGTACAGTTTCGTTCATCTCGTTAACCCTCCGAGTGGTCGGTCGCCTCTGCATCACCACCAACGCATCCAGCCCTCCAGCAACTACCTTCATCCACGATCCCCCGGTCCTCGACGGCAACTTCAAGGTGGTCCATCGAGGTCGGGGAAAACAACCTACCTTAACATCTACTGCCATAAAACGATTTTCCTACTTCTTCCTCCTTAGCGTTAACCCTCAACTCAAAAGCGAATTGAGAAATCACATGGTCGTGACATGCTTGGGCACTGGTGCGATGACTCCAAGCTTTCACTGTGCTTTTTAAGCATATCATAGAACTTGTCATTCGGAATTGACGAGAAGTTCCGTCGGGACACTCATCGGCCACGAACGCGAATCCAAATATTCGTCGACGGATTGATTTTTTGATGAGCGCGTACGCCCGGGTGACGCAGTTTTCGTGTCCAATGCATGAGCTGGGGTCGGCTGACGTATACCTCTGACATGTTTTGGATACCGCGGATGTATGACAGGTCAGGAAGGCTATCCCATCGTCATCTCTTGGTTGAGAATCCCACTAACCAAAGGTGCACGTTTCACCTTAACAACGACATTTCAGTACCCCCCCCCCCCCCCCTCCCAACTCTCCTTCCTTGATAGCACTACCTCCCCGGTTTTATCGCTACAACCAATAATCCTTACCAGTTCCGAAATGTACTATTACTAATCGTTTTTGCGATGATTCATCACTTGTTCGATTGCTTGTTTGTTTGTTGTTATAATGTTACTATTGATCATTCGCTAGAGTTTTACTACCTATTTATTGAACCTGTTGTCTTCCTGTGTAACGCATTCGGGCACTTAGAAATAATTATTAATTAATTCATTCCAAATATATAAATGAACAACTAAACATGCTTATTAATGGATAAACAAATTATTTATTTATTGAATCAATTAATACACGAATAAATACGAAAATAAATAAATAAAGACCTTTATTACACGATTATATAAAAAAACAATTAAACGAATGAATGAAGGAATGAATGAGGTGCCTCACCAACCTTCGTCGCAGAGGCTTCCCGTGAATCCCGCAGGGCAATCGCATTGGCCGGAGATCCGGTCGCATCGACCCCGTCGACACTGGCAGCGCTTCTGGCAGTTGACGCCGTGGGTACCCTGCTCGCACTCTGTTTGTAAATAGGAGGCAAACGCGGCGGCTGAGCCGAGAAATTGCCTTCCCAGCTTGTTCTCGAGTGACGCTGGAGGCTAGCCCGACGTAAAGCCCCTTCATGTTTCAAAAGTAGCGCAAGGTGCGTCGATGCACGAGGCACGTGCAACGTGCAGCCCTCGGGAAGATCATGGCGGCACAGCGCAGGAGGCTTTTCAATATATAACACTTTTCAGCCAGATTGTTATTCTTGTTTTGCTTTAGGGCCGTAGACCCAGTCAAGTTACCATATGGTAGCTTTTTGTCTGGAAGCCCGCCAGAGTAAATTTCTGGAAATAAAGATTTAATTTCATTCAATTCATTTAATTTCATTTCAGACACCATTATCTTCTCAGAAGGTGCGCGCGGCACGTGTCTCGAGCCTTTCCCCAACAATGAATGGCGCCACTTTTTCTGAGAAAGAAGGGCTTTGGCCCGACGGTGTACAGCAACAGAAACTCAATATTAGGTCGGTTGGGGCAGTATGAGAACGTCATTTTGTTTTTCTTTGCATTCTTTCTTTCTGCTCCCTACCTTCCCGTATTTTCCAATACACTCAATGTTTTTAGAATACCAGAATTCCCGGGATTCCATTATTTGAGGTTAGGACAAATGACTTTTTTTTAAACGTAATAAAGCTTTTTTTATTTTTTCCTTGTTTGAAATTGCCGAAGCAGGCGTGAGGTACGGCTGTGAGTCACCCCCCGATGTGTTTGTGAATTATATCGAGAGGCTATGCAATGGCATGTGGGAAGCACGATTAACTGCGCAGAAATATAGTGGATAATAAGGGCAGGGAGGTCGAAAGCTGTTTACAGTTGTCCCGCGCGACCTTCCTACTTCCGAGAACGTTTTGGCCCCTCGTCCCTTGAGCGTGCACGTGCAGCTAGCCAAAGCGCGAGGAAAGGCAGCGAGAGCGTGCTGGAGGCCGGGCGTTCCAAAGAGACGCCCACGCCGTTCTCACCTCGTCAGTGACTCCGTCCACCCATCCGCTGACATTGGAGGCAAGGCTAGACGCCCGAGCTAGCCCGCGCTCCTGACTTTGAGACGTGCATTTGTAGCGCGAGTGCTCGTTCTGCGGAAGAACGCTTCAAAGCACCGACCTCGTGCTCTCGTACTTGTGGCATTGTCTGCAGTCTCAGCTTAAGTGTGAAAGAATCACTGGACGCCATATTTGAGGGCACAGTTTAGAGCGCATGCTCAGAATGAGCTCTCAATAATCGGCTGCTAAGACCGGCAATCTTGATGCTGTGGAATGCACGTTGCGGAACTGTGGAAGCTCGCCATCAGCATCCGCTCAGCAATAGCGCACGCAGCTATGGCCGCTAGTGATACTCCCTATTGGGGACGTGCGCGATTCAAAGCGTCGCTGCAGTCAGCCTGCCACGACTGACCGAATGCTGACCATGACGTCAGTAAAGGATTTCTCATCGACGGAAATACTGTCGAGACCGGTTATAGCGAGGTCGGTTATAACGAAATAGCGGAAAAAGCGATCATAATTTCCCATCCCCGTTTGCACTTCTCAAAGCATTTGTGGACGAAGGAAATGAGCGGCTACCGCTGATAAAGCGAAGAGAAAGTTTGTAATCAATTAAAAATAATAAAATTCGGAATTTTACTGTTTCAGACCGTTGCACTTGTGCTGTCGTGACGGAGCAGCCAGCCAGAACGGGCCGGAGACGATGCTCCAAAGGCTGCCGATGACAGCCTCTGCATCGTCGTCTGCTTCCAGCTTGTTATCTGGGAAGCGGCTTTTCCGCATCGCACAGGAAGAAGCCGTCGTGGTGTGCCGATAGGGGCATTCGGAACGCTAGCGACAACGCACCTATGACGTGCCGGCGGAGACGACGGAAAGAACCTAGGTTTGAGAAAGGGAGCAACCCCAATTTCCTGGTGGACGCTACCTTGGCAGCTAGGCTCAAGTGCGCTTGCATTTGGTTGTTCCGTGGCCAACGTGGCAAAAAGCAAATAAAAAAAAGAAAAAGAAAACAGGCAGAGGGGCGGACACATTTGCAGACGGTGAACGCTTCTGACTCCTTGCAGGCAGCAGCTGATTTTGGAAACGCGTCCCACAAACCAAAGGGACAAACGATAGGGCAGTAGCCACTTTCTTAAATCTTGGCTCTCTGTACCGACGAAACACGAACTTGAGCACGAACTTGGTGCCGTGCGCGCTTCGTTTGCTTCCTGTTCCGTGTCGGCGTCGCTAGTCCTTGTGATCGTTCTCCGCGCGAAAGTCTGGCTTCGCACAAGCAACAATTTGGCGACTCATTGCGACTCAGCGATGGCAGGTCCCAGCACATCGAAGTGGAAGACGAAGGCAACCTGCTTGAGACAAGAGCGTGCCGAAATCTTCGACGAAGTGTGCAACAACGTTAAAAAATGACGTCCACCGCCTGACGCCCTTTGCAACGACCGTCGCAGCTGTCGATATGGCTCTGAACGTGGTCCGTACGTAGCTCGCAGGATTTTCTTTCGATAGGGGCTCCTCGCAGTCGCCGAGAGCCAGCTCCGATCTATACTCCGTTTCAGCTTATGATGTACCGCAGAAAAGGCTACAACGCAAGCTCCTTGCTTTAGTGCACATCTCGGCGGCACAAGCTCTCGTGCATTAAGGGCGGCTGCCAACGCTATGAGCTCGCGCTTCTAGCCTTCGCTGCGGTACAGCTACAGTACAACATAAGCTGAAACAGGGTAGTATTCACTGGCGGCCATATCCGAGTGCGCTGCTGCTGAGCGCGTGCTGACGGCAAGCTTCCACAGTCCTTTTGGAGCGGAAAAAACGACGACGACGACGCTCCAGCCAGGACGATCGAATTTGTCGCTCTAGGAAGACTGCGTTATTTTATGGTTATTTCCTGGTTTATTGACCGAATATTTCCCTGGTTTTTCAAGGATACGTCTCCTGTCCACACCCAATTAGGAGCTACGACTCCGCCCAACGGGGGCCACGTAATATGAGCCTCCCGAATCCACCACAGCCTAACCAGGATGAATCTGGATCTGCCGAACCACATCACAAGCCTGAAGACTCTCATGATAGCGTCATGGATGACTTCGAGGACGAAGCTGGGTGGCAAACCCAAACGTCGAAGAAGAGACGTCACGGCTCAAATTCAAGTGAGGACACAATCATAACCCAGCCGGGTTATAATCTCACAGTCATTGTTAAGCCTAACGACCCAACCACGATCATCACCAACATGAACCCTCTGGTACTAAAACAAAAGCTGGACAGTCTGGCCCCTGACGGTGTCATCCAGATTCGGCCCAACTACCGATTGAATCTTCTGGCCATCAATGCTAGAAATGTAGAATCCACCAAAGCACTCCTGCAACTGAAGAACCTGGGAACAGTTCAAGTTCAAACTTACGAACCTCCTCCACCATCGGCATCTGTGGGTATTATTCGAGGAGTATCTGCAGACATTGAGGACGCTGATCTCTTGGCAGCCATGCGAGAAAAAGCTTCAGTAATCCAGGTGAGAAGACTTGGAAAGTCAGAAATCGTCAAACTCGTCTTCGCAACAAAATCCTCACCTGAATATGTCACTGCCGGGCATACACGTTACAAAGTTCTTCCCTACCTTGAAAAGCCAAGGCAGTGTCCGAAGTGCAATCGCTTCGGCCACATTGCAAGCACCTGTCTTAAGGCGCAGCGCTGCAGTCGTTGTGGCGGCGACCACGGAGTAAATGAGTGTGCAGCGGAGCAGCCTAAATGTGCCAACTGTAAGAAGCGCCATGATGCGGCATCAAAAGTCTGTGCCATCTACAAAGTAGAAAGACAAATCAGTAACTACAAAAGCTCGAAAAATGTGAACTACACTTCCGCTAAATCTGCTATCGAAAACGACCAAGAGGCGTGTGGAACTGGAAGACACTGGACACCTCGAAAACGATCGCAAGGCTCAAAAGAAGATAAGCGATCATGCATTCCACTCCAGAACGAGGATAACTTCCCTCCTTTGGAAAACTTGACAGGCAAAACTGCTCCAGACGCCTCAGCAGCTCCCCCAGTACAGTCTGGACCAAGCACTCAGCCATCTAGTGCTTCAGCAGCTACCGCCAAAAAAGGCCCTTCAAGAGGTCTGACCCGGCCAACCCGAAAGCACAGTGAGCCACCTGGTGATCCTAAACCAATACCTAATGCAACACCTAAGCCTCAAAGCTTCGGAACTGCGATCTGTACGTTAGCCATACAGCTACGTACCTTTCTCACGTCTCTAAATTTTCCATTCGCTCAGGCACTGGTCACAGTAATCGACATGCTCCTGCCACTTGCCAGCTCCTGGTCTAGGTAGTCTCGCCTTAATAAGGCCGGACTGCAACCGACGCAAAATCATCTTCCTCGCTGCGCAAGACGCTGTTTAATACCTCAGATTCTTCAGTGGAATGTTAATGGACTACGAAATCGGATAGACGACTTACGGCAATATTTACAAAGGCACCAAATTGAAGTACTAGCCCTCCAGGAGACAAACTGCCAACCACAATCAATTCGTCTGTCGCCCTATGTTATCTACAATAGTACGCCTCGGACGACTCTCACATCAACAGATCCTCCAAAGGCATCCTTGTACGTACACCGAGATCTACCTCAATTACAAGTGGACCTGTCGGACTTGTGCGACAACATCGCCGAATATGTCGCTGTCACAATCAAAAAAGGGAACTCAGACGTCACTGTCGTCTCAGTCTACATTAGGCCTAACGTTCAGTGGGACCCCTCCTCATTGCGTGCAATTCTCTCACGATGCGCACCAGCCACCTTGTTTCTTGGGGATTTTAACGCCCACAACGAGACCTGGGGAGATAAGAAAACAACACCTCGGGGGCGACTGCTTCAGGATGCCGCAGCTGCCCTTGGTCTTCAATGCTTGAACGACGGAGAGGCCACCTTCGTACGGCCTGGCGTGGAGGGAAGTGCACTAGACCTTAGCTTCACTACGTCCCCAGTACGAGCCTTGTGGTCAGCGG